GCTATTTATGTATTTAAATTGTAAAGTAGAGCGATAAATCTTTGAACCCGTTATATCACGTAACCCTGTGTAGGTTAATGCAAAAAAAATTCGAGTGATTATCATTACTACTAAAAATGTGACAGAAAAATGTGTTGTCTGTTACGGCGACAAAACTATTCCAGTTACCGTGAAACCACCCATTTGCATTAGAAGTAATGAGTTTCATTTTATTTTCAAAGAGAAAAGGATCAAAGCGGCCCAGGTACTCTTTTTTAAGTCGTGCCTCCAGCGACTTGACGGAATTGAAGCACTGCGACTGGGGTCAGCACCTGGATGCAACTATTCGTGTTCCGTGGATGTCCGCGTTGCATAAATCAAGTATTGAAGGAGTTGTGGCTTTCATTGCCCGCACGCAGCGCAGGGACGCTCGTCGTTTTATTAAGCTAGAACCTGGTTACACGCTCAAATTTCCATAAAATTCCGATCAAAATGATGACCAAGATGGCGGTCGAGAGTTATCTAGATTGATGAGTAAAATTAATTAAAACAGCGTGTTGATTGAAATAAGCATGAAATAAGCACGGTTGTGTGGAAATTAGAGTGGATTTGTGTGGGGATGAGCCCCACAGCTCCATCATCTACCATCAAATTTTTGCAGGCCGCAGAAATTTGATGGTAGATGGTGCGCACCAGGCACTATTTGATCGGAAATTGATGGAAATTTGAGCGTCCAACCAGCACATTAGTCTCAAGCGAAGTGCCGCTCGAAAGGGGCGAGAAAGGGGTCAAGGGGCCTCCGAAGGGGTCATCAAGATATATTTTAAGAACAACTTGCATCTAATTTAAAAACATCCGAAAACTGGAAAAGAGGCATATAATACTTTCAAGCGAGTCCCTTGTCAGCGAAAACTTCCGGTTTTATTTTGGAGTTGGTCTCTCTTCAGGCTATTACGTGCCACCGGAAATTCTGCCGAGTTCAGGGCCGGATTTAGGGGGTGGCTATATGGGAACATGGGCCGCGGCACATTTAGGGGGCGGCAAATGCTGTAATTTTTCCAATGTAGGTATCAAGAAATAAATCTGATTCAGAAAAAAAAGAAAATGCGAAAAAATCTCCCATTTCATGAGAGTTAAAGTATGGTAATTTCTATTTTTTTCGTCTTTCGGTGATACAAGAGACAGCGCCTTTCATTAGTCTAGTTGAGAGAGAAACCAAACACGCAATTTGGCCTGGAGCGGCGCAGCGCAGAGAGCATTGATGACGAGGACATGAGATGGAAAGGAGAAGTCCACGGCGCGCCGGTCAGCATGAAACACATATTAGCGCCTACACGACTCCATGAATACTTCACGCATTGCGTCAAACGTAATGCAGTCAGCAGCAGTTGGCGTGAAACGCGTAGCGCCTACAAGACTGTATAGATACTTCACGCATTGCGCCAATTACAGTGCGGTTGGCGTGGTAGCGGAAATTAAAGTCATTGAACCACATTCATGTTTCTTCTTTCATAATTGTTTCATTCATTTCTTTTAAATGGAAGGCCTTGTCCACACAGAGATAGGTTTACATAACTTAACTCTCGCGCCAAGTTCCGTGAACTTTTGCTAGTAGTGTTGACAGGGCTTTCGCAAAAAATGTGTCCAACACGAGTAAACGCGTCTTATGCACCCTTCCTCCTCCGGCACGTTCACTTGATGGTTTGTATCGATGTTTCAAAACGAATGAGAAGGGGGCGGCAAAATACAGGCGGCCTATGGGCGGCAAGTAGGTAAATCCGGCCCTGGCCGAGTTACAGAATTTGTATCAGCCCGTTTCCTCTCTTTTAAAAATTGGTTTATTCATGGTAGAGGTAATATTCAACTGCAACCCGTTTTGATTTACGGTGGCCAGAAGTGGGCGCAGAAAAAATAATGTTACCCGCAAACCATTCGACCGGATTTAAAAACCTGAAGTTTCTATAAACCCGACATGGTGCTGCTGATAACTCTTGCTATACCTACCGACTTTCTTTAATTTTACTAGTTTTGGAGCAATACGAATATGCATTTAACTCACGTAAAGTCCTTGAATAATTCGCAAAACGTGTTCGATCACTCTTGTCTTGAACTTTTCATCCAATGAGAATCGAAAGAGTTAATTTAGGATTTTTTCCCCTCTTTCAATAACAGTCATTCCAGTGTATTATCAGCTTTTCCAATCCCGAAATGAATCGCATTTCGACGATGAAACTTCCAAACCACGTATCTCGATTTACGACGTTGAAGACTTCCTGTCACACTTTGTTTCTTAAAATGGAAAAACTACTCAACGGAAATCTCTAAAAACCGCCGTGATTTTTCTTCACTGTGCATAGGTACAAAATTCTGTCGAAACTTCAAGGAATGTTGTCCATTTTTTCTCCTTTAAAGAAATAAAACAAGAGCGGACATTTTAAAACATAGCAAACGAGATACATGCATTATGTGGTTTGGGAGTCTCACCGTCAATTTGGATGTTTATTTGAGCAGTTCAGGTAACTGAGAAACTCCACTCTACACAATCTGAGACCTTGCGTTTCCGGTCCCTGACTCCTTGGACACTCAGAAACAACTGTACCTTTTAGTAAATAAACATATTCTGAGGACGGTCCTCGGAAAATAAACATAACTGAAATGTCGCATCAGAACATTCTCCTTAAAATCTCCACATCTGTTTAGGATGGTAGTTAAATAGAATACCCCTAGTATATCTTAGAGAGCCCCTATAGAGTACCCCTATAGAATATTTTAAAAACGAATCAAGAAGAAGATTCTGCATGAGCAAGTCGCGGAATCTTTTTCCTATTCTCGGCACGACTGCCGCGAACCAGTTATCACGTTTTTCCCCGCACGCGTGCGATAGGTTGCACTAACAATAAGTTGAAGTGGAAAACGGGTTGATCGCATAAAATGAGTATTGTAAATGAGGAGTAAACAATAAATTGCAAACTGATGGTGCGTATCGCAAACAACGGTCCGTATTGAATAAGAGCCTTTCCGACATAGGTACCTGCAACGTTTTTCAGACCTTGCAGGTATCTATAATCTGCTACATTGATAGTAATTGAGCCATTATTTGTAGAAACGACGCATGAGATTTGCAATAATTTGTAGCGAAACTTACACGCATGCAGGGTGTCTATCGTACAAGTCCGGAATTTCCTGAAATAGTACTGATTTTTTAAGGTGCAGAAAGACACCCCACCGAAAATGGTCTCCACCAGTTCTATAGGGGAGGTTCGGTTCGGAGTGACTTTTCCCTTTTCCGCTTCAAAAGGCGGGGGGGGGGGGGAGAGCCTCTCCGGGAAAACTTTTATCAGACAAATCAAGAGCAATCACCTGTTTGTCTAACTGCGACGTTGATCACAGTACATTTTCAAAGATGAAAGATAAAGCCACGTACTTATTTAGAAAAATTCCCCACATTTTCTATGGGGACCAAGTAAATTTCTGGGGGCCGGCAACCTCCGCCCCCCGGATCACTCCTAGTGTCGCCCATTTACGTACGTTAATTATTTTTGTAGAGAAAAAGGTGATAATGTATGGCAAAGGGACGACAAGCAGGGTGTCGACAAGTCCGGAAATAGTACTGATTTTATAAGGGCGGTCCGGAAGTACTGAAAAAGTGCGGAAATTCCTCAAAAAGGTCCGGAATTACTTTTTTTTTGTGTCATTTTCGTCGCAATTTCAAACTACTGAAATTTTTCTAATTTCGTCAAATGGAGGCACTGAAAAAGTACGGAATTTTTCTGTTGGAGGAGGTACTAAATTTCTTGAGAATGTACTGAAAAAGTACTGTAAAAGTACGTATTTTTGACCGCAGCCTGTTTTAGTAGACACCCTGGACAAGACTTCCTCTACTTGTAAGGGGAGCTAGAAAGTGAAACTTTTTTTGGAGGGGGAGGGGGGCGGGGAATCCTAAAGGACTTTCAAACCTTCTTGAAGCGAGTAATGCTGTAAGTCGTACATTCTGAGTAGCATCGCCTAGCTGATACATTGTTTCAACGAAGAATGACTCAATTCGTAGCGAAACTCCGCCATGCTCACCCTGGCCATGTTTAGGGTGTGCAACTCTCATTTCGTCTCGGTAATATTTCATCAGAGGCACCTAGGTAAGTAATTTTCTTCAGATAACTTTTTATAATTGGTTCCTCTTCTTTCTTTTTATGTCTATTTCATCGCATTATTAATTTTAAGGGGTGCCTCCTAATGGCAAGCGGAAATCAACGGAACCACTTTTAAACAGCTAAGTTTTGCACTCGTGAAGTTGTAGTGTAGTGTAAGTGTCCATCCTAAGGAAAAATGCCGTATGAGCCTTCAGCCGTTGCCCAATTTCCTTTGATAAATCCAATTTTTTTTTCTAAAAAAAATTGGAAAATTTTGTCCATAATTTGATATAAACAGTCTGAAAATTTCAAGGAAGAATATTTATAACTTCCGATAGTATTTCTTTCTAGTCCGTAGTATTTTCTAGTAGTATTTTCTTCTCTAGTCTGAAGTATTTAGTTTTTTCAAAACTAAATACTTTCCGAGAAGAAATTTGGCAACATTCTAATGCTGATACGGTGTTTCTCCCTAAAACGGTAGTATGCGCCACTTTGTTTACAATGATGCATGTATTGTGACGCAGCAGGGCACAAATGTGCACGGAGGAGAGGGGGAGAGAGAGAGGGAGGGAGAGAGAGAGGGGGGGGGGGGGTTCACGCCACAACTTAGGCGGGTCCATTCTGCATCGTTTGGCGCATAAAAACCCCCAAAAACTGAACCCTTGGCAGCCCTTTTCTGTCCTGGCGAATCGTCGCTGACGCGAGGGTAAGGTAAATCGTATTTCTGAGCGAAGCACGATCAGATCCACTGATTTCTTATGGTGGGGGGATCTCAAAGGATCCTGTATCGGAGGCGCAAAGTGTTAATTTGTTCGCCATTAAGCTCAATTAGCGAAAGGACACCACTGATGTTGGACATACACGGTTTTTCTGTCAAGTTGAGGCCCAGCGTGATTTAAAGCCGTTTCAGATTCCCCTGCCCAGTAATCATCCCGTTCAGCTGCTCAGTTTCAACGTGGAGATCGTTTAATGAAAAATAAATCTTTCAATTGTAACTCGGACTCCTCAAGGTCGGGAGGATAGACATTTGTGACAGTAGGTCACTCAATTTACGCTCGTCTTGGAAGAAACAAGGCATTTTTTAGTTGCTCTTACTTTTTTCCCCGTCCCATGTGCGCGCATGATTTTCTTCCCGTGTTGATGCTTCTATTTTGTCCCTCACTTACTCGCGATTTCGCTATCCGCCGCCCACTCCAGGCCCATCTCAATTCCTCGCGGAGTTAAGTGACTTGAAATGTGACTTGTGCACCGTTGTATTCGTTCAAGCAGCCGTCGGAGGTAATGAATATTAACTGTTTTTGATTTGTTTGCTCACGATTGAACCGGTCGAGGCAGGAGGGGTGTAATCATGATTTATTTTCAAATTTCCGCCAATGTTTTATCTAACTGCATAAAAATATATTCTTCGGTTTTAAGTGAAAATATAGTTGACTATTCTTGTAAACTTCAAGGAGAGATCAATTGAAGGGCTTGGAGGACAAGACGCACAAGTGCAGTATTTGCTATTTCAAGGAATACTTACGTGTATAAAGTTTCAAAATTACAAGGGAAAAGTTTAAACTCGCTTTTCGATGGTTAAAAATCGGAATTGGGGAGTGAATTTTCCACATAATATCGATGGCGATTTAAAGTGCGAAACCACATATTTCCATGGTGATGTTTCAAAATCTATGCTACTAGTTTATTTTTTCGAAGAAAACAAGTCTACTTTATAGCTAGAAATTTTTACGGAATATTCTGCTAGCATATAGAGAAGAAGAATTAGGGAAATTTTCAAGAAATTCAGTTGATCTGTTTTCCAACGAGAAAATAAATTAGGTATGGCAGGAAGTCTGCAACGTCGCAAATGGAGATACGTAGTTTCGCACTTATTTGGTCATCGGTATGTTTCATGACTAGTTTTTGATGAAATCGTCAATACCTCCAATTACCTTCGAAAACTGCACTTAAATGCGCCTCGTCCTCCAAGCTCTCTAATAATTGTTCCTTTAAGTTCATTAAGTGCATTAAAGTTCATCAAAGTTCCTCAAAAATTGGTCACCAAGATTCACCCGGAAAAAGAAATACAAATCATGTTTACAATTACGGTTTTTGAAATGTTTCGCCCAAATACATTTACGTTGTCATCAATGAAGCCCAGTAGGTCTAGAGATTTGGTCCACCATTCGCATCATTCTTGAGGTTCAAGCGAAGCATTTGGGCATATTTACAGGCAAATATCTTGTTTTCTAAATTTCTGTGGCGTTCACCATCAAGTTGGTTATCATGAACAATAAATACGATTAAGAAAGTTTCCATAACTCATTTATTTGAAATATATCCATAATTGTTTACCTACCAGGAGCTCTGTCAATAATATTGTCACAATATCATGCTTGAGAACGGCGAAAAGCCAACGAGAACCAACTATCTGGCGTTTCTGAATTTTTGAAAGCACGTATCTGACTAAGGAAATTGGTGACATGTCATCAAAGAAACGATCTGTTACGCCCCTCGTCCTCATGGATTGCTAAAAATTGCGCGATCCGCGTAAATTTCAGGACGCAAGATGGCAAGTTCTTGAAAAATCATTAAAAACGCGTGAAAGGCAGGGAATTTTGTTCAACTTCAATTTTTCCTGAAAAGTCAGAAAATTTCGCTGCGAAACCTAGAAATTCCTTTCGGCCGAAATTTTTAATTATCCTCTATCGCGTGCACACACACAATAGACGAATTTTGGACTTCGCGATCAGTAAGTGCAGTCTCTACCTGTTAAGTTCTCAAATTTTGAATTTTTTCGATGTCAAAAATCCTCGTGCTAAAAATCTGTCTTGAAATGCAATTTCACGAGAAATCACCATCCATCACCCCCTTCCCCCTTCCCCAAATTATGGAAAGTCATGGAAAAGTCAGGGAATTATGAGATACAAGAAAATTTGTCACTTCACAGGAAACCGCGCATGAACTCGGCATTAACGCGATGTTCCATATTGTTTGAGTTTTGATTACCCACAGTGGGTGGGATTGAAGCTATTGGAGCTTCGAAGCTACTTACCGCAAGTAATCTCAAACTAAGCTGTTCAGCCAGAAAAGGAGACAAAAAGGCTCCATTTTAAAATAATCCATCGGTGCTCTTGTCAAATAACAAACAGAAAATAATGTAAAAATTGGTCAAAAATGTTGTAATTTCACCTCAAAGAAGTCATTCGGCAAACATTCTCCCTTTGGAAGAAATTTTTTATAGAAGTTTGCGCCTTAAAATTGCAGCGTTTATGGGCCAAAGCCACTGAAAAATCGCGGATAATCCGAATCGTGGATAACTAAAGCGCGGATAACCAAGGCTCTATCGTACCTATCGATTTAGGAATCAGTTTCCAGCAGGTCAAACTTGAACCCTAAGCTACCGAAAAATCGCGGATAATCCGAACCGTGGATAACTGAAGCGCGGATAACCAAGGCTCTATCGTACCTATCCATTTAGGAATCAGTTTCCAGCGAGCCAAACTTGAACCTAAAGCCATCGAAAAATCGCGGATAATCCGAATCGTGGATAACTGAAGCGCGGATAACCAAGGCTCTATCGTACCTATCCATTTAGGAATCAGTTTCCAGCGGGCCAAACTTGAACCTAAAGCCACCGAAAAATCGCGGATAATCCGAATCGTGGATAACTGAAGCGCGGATAACCAAGGCTCTATCGTACCTATCCATTTAGGAATCAGTTTCCAGCGGGCCAAACTTGAACCCAAAGCCACCGAAATATCGCGGATAATCCGAATCGTGGATAACTGAAGCGCGGATAACCAAGGCTCTACCGTACCTATCCATTTAGGAATCAGTTTCCAGCAGGTCAAACTTGAATCCAAAGCCACCGAAAAATCGCGGATAATCCGAATCGTGGATAACTGAAGTGCGGATAACCAAGGCTCTATCGTACCTATCCATTTAGGAATCAGTTTTCAGCAGGTCAAACTTGAACCCAAAGCCACCGAAAAATCGCGGATAATCCGAATCGTGGATAACTGAAGCGCGGATAACCAAGGCTCTATCGTACCTATTCATTTAGGATTCAGTCTCCAGCAAGTTCAACTGGATTTTCTTGTCACCACAACCGAATACGCATGGTTTAGTTGATCAGGTTGGATCAAATCCTCGAAGCAGCTTGTGTACTCCAAATGCTTAAAGATTTCATAAAAAAGGTTTTTCTTTGCATTTGTTTGCCACCCGAGTAATTCTTGTTTATCCTCATTGTTTCAGATGAATGAAAATGCAGATACCGCCTCCAATAAAGGAACTTGTTTATGCTGTAAACTTGAAGTGTCAGAAAACACAGGCAGGCTCCAGTAAGCATAAAAATATTTTTTTATTTTTTCTTGGACACCAGATAGGACACCCTGATAGGATTTTGTATTCAGATATTGATTTGTCACTTGAGCACCCTGGAAATATCCTTCACTCCTCAAGAACAAATAGTCGCAACCCCAACTCCTTGATGGCTGTGTTTGAATATTTAAACACACACCCATCAAAAGAGGGTCCTTTTCCGAATGAGCTCTTCAAGCCCAAGGATATCAGCTATTATTTGGAGCTAGGTTGCGGCTCATTTCAATGATGATGGTATGTGCGTCGCACCTAGTGACAATCATTTTTATTTACAAAAATGATAAATCACCTAAAATTTGAGCCAATTTTATGCATTTTTAGATTGTATGTAGAGTGATTAAAGTTTCAAAAAAAATTACATCGGGGAAAACAGGCTGATCAGTGGAAAATAATTTTTACTCACAAAAAATGAGGGATAAAAATGAAAAAAGTGGTTTTTAGCAAGAATGCACGGATACAGCCTGATGTATTGTAGGTACTTGAATTTTACGTAATAACATCATTCAAGCCAAACATTTTTCTGTTTTCATTGTCCTAGTAAATTTACCAAATTGATTTTCTACCTTTAGTCATTGGCTAAATTTAGTAAGCTCACCCTCTTAGTGTCACCTCTCCAACCTTTGTCCTCCACATGAATCGGAATACCTTTGATTATATGCATCAGTTTGGTTTTAAACATTTCTTAGGGAAGAAGGAAACGCTGAGGAGTGTCTAATTTTATTTATCTATTTTTTTTTATTTTTTTATTTTTTTTTTAAATTAAATGATGAAATTAAAATTCAGAATTATCACTTACCTACCTATCTTTTTACAGTTTCTAACCTTAGATTCTGTTCGAAAGGTGAGTTTGACTTTTCATATTCTCTCAAGAAGAATTGCCTAGCAACCATTTGTTTTTGGTAACAGATTTTAATTCTTGCAGTGCCTCCAGTTTTGTTATCAGGTGGTGTGGTTCCTTTGATAACAAGAGGACCTGGAGGCAGAGACGGATGAAGCTAATCCTCCTTTTCCCGTTCAGCTTTTTCATCATAATATCCATTGCATTTCTCTGTTGTGAAACATTGAAAATGGTAACACCGGATCTCCTTACTCCACCACAACCAGTTCCAATGGGTAATCTAATCTCTTTAGTTATTTCATAAGTTATTCGTGGAAAATATTATTGAAAAGTTCAATCTCCAATCAGTTTGACCAGCAATATATTTCATTTTGGAGGATTTTGTCAGCATGATCTGCTTGTAGACTTGCATCAATGAATCATGCAAGTTTTAAGAGCTGGACACTGCAAGACTTTGTATTTTTTATGGTTTATCTAAGTCAATCAGCATATGGTCAATAATCTGTTGACATTTTTTGATAACAGAATTCTCTATACCTTCTTGTCCACGTATTGGAATTCTCAGTCTTTTGATTGTCAAAATTTATTTTATAGGAGAATTCCTTTCTCGGATGAAAATTATTCTATTCCGTCAGTCAAAGAACTTGCGAGTGTCTGTTTTTCTATGATTATTCAAAAGTTAATACCTAACATAGAAAAGAGATGAAATTTTTTTAAATTATTAAAGGCATGCCTTTCCTTGGCTGGTTGCATTGCTGCGCATAATGCAAAAAATCCTATACCTTCCTATAAATTATACATTTCCCTCCATTCTTAGTTTTTACACTTTTTCTCTCATTTCTACAGTGGTCAGTCAGTATGATGCTGACCTTCTGGAACATACAATTTCTACCAAGTCTGATCTCCTCGAGGATTTATTGAAGACTAAGTGCATACCTTCATCTACATACTTTACGCAACTACGGAAAAAAAGAGAACTCAGACCTGATACTCTTGGCAATCCTAAGTACGGCACATATCAAGTAAGAAATTTTATGTAGGAGCTAAAATAAATCCAATACATAGAATAAAAATAACTTTTCTCAAGTATCAAGAAAGATTCAGTGACGGATTGAATGTCTCTGTTGTTTTTTTTTTAGAGTTTGGGCCATAATTTTTGTTTTTTTCTTTTCCAATGGATTAATTTTACCATTGTTTATTTTTGAGTCTCATTTCTGTTGTCAACTGTAAACTGAGAGATGTATAAAAATTGAAGTACTGTTTCCATTCAAATAATTGGGTTGGTATCACGCTGAAAGATTTATTGAGGATGAAATTGCTGGAATAAGTATCTTGTTTGGGATGTTACAAAATCTCCGCTCCCATTTTACTTCATCGAAGCGAATAAATCAACGAGATTACTTGAAGTTTTTACAGACTGTTCTTCAATAGACTTTGTTGAAACACTAAGGGGATGTCGCATTGGGTGCCTAACAAACATTTCTCTCTTGCAACACGATTGAAGGTGCTTTTTTTCAATCGTCATAAGGGAGCATGTGTGTAAGATGGTTTGCAAAGTTACTAAGTCTTATGTTGTTCACAAATGAATTGATTGTAATATTTGCGATGTGCAAAGGTATACATTATCATTCACTGATGCTCAACACAATTAGAAAAAAGTTTGGTTAACTGATTAATAGTTGTCACTCAAATCGTGGTCTGATTGCCTGTTCATTTCTACTTTATTTCCACTCTAGAGCAGCGTTTCAAGCGATCCAATTTCTCAACATAAGTTAGCCCCAAGGTGGTTTGTGAGTTCTGAATCATTGCCATTGCTGAAAGAGAATGACATAATACCAAAATCTCAGAAACTACTAAACAGCACCACCAAGAGCATCCAAGAAAGCGATGAGGTATGTATGCATTTTTATGCCCCAAGTTGAGCATATATTTTTTTATTTCTATAGTTATCCATGGTGAAAGTAGATGACTCATACCAGTGTTATTGCACAAAATTTTGTTTGATTTTTCTTTGCCCTTACAAAAATATTTTCTAAACATGTTTCATAAAAATTTCGAGTAATATTTCTTGGGAAAAATAAATTAAGAGTAAGCATTTTAAAACACCTTTATCAAGGTACACGAATGTTTTTGTAGTTTCACGATTTGTATATCTGTTACTGATGTTAAACATTTATTTACTTGGAGAGAATTGTGAAGGAAAACATGTTCATAGTGGAGAGCAGTGCCTATTGAACCAGTCATTCTACAGTATCATTATTGCACATCATTCTGTGCTAGTTTAATGTTGATCATCATAACTGTGTAAAAATTAGTATTTTTTGAAACAAGGTGAAGTGTCAACAACATGGAGTCAATCAAGTGTGTTTTTCATTTTGATTTTTCACCTCTCGAGTAGATAAAAATTCAAATCACCCAATCATTTTGTCGTGCCAACAGGCTTATCAAATTATGAAAAATCATATTGAAAATCTATTACTTAGATGTAAGTTTTTACGGGAGGTCTCCCAAAAATTTTAGATTATCTGTTCCTCACAGGTTATAGGTTCTTTCATTCTAGGTGGTGAGAATATTATTAAATTTGGTTCAATTCAATGCCAAGTCATACAAAATGGAAGTTCTTTGCTTAATTTTTCAGCCTTTTGATGTAACAAATCAAGAGCAGAATCAAGATCCAAGTGAAAATTCTGAAAAAGCTCAAGAAGCTGCAACGACAGTTCCTAATTATATTGACCAGGCAGACCAAACGCATGACTCAAGTCCGTAAGTTATCAAGAATTTCCTTTTTTCTTTCTTCCTTTTTTTTTTAAATTATGAGAATCTATGTGACTGGTAGAGAAACTAATGGAACATTTTGCTCTCAATTTGCGGAACTTGATATTTGGAGTTTTTGAGACTTTTGTCAACCCTCTTCATTTTCATTACTTGTCAGAATCACCCCTCCTGTGTTTCCATGTAAACACTTAAGTGCAACCAGTGAAAAAAATTCTATCTCTAATTGTGAGTGCCAAATAAAACCGTCATAACAATGAGCTGCCATCTGCCGCTGAGAGACAACACATATGAGAGATTTTATGTGCGACATTTTAAAGGAAGTTGCTTCTCTTTACAGGGATATTCAAAATGCAGAAAACATAGATTGGGTGTTAAAAACCAAACCTCTAAATTTCAAAACCACTCCTGCCATTGAGAGAGAAAATCAGACGGAAGAAATACAAAGGCAAAAACCTACAGTTCTTTCTACTATATCGGATAGTGTTCCTGCAATACAGCATGCATTCTGGAAGGGAGAGGGAACCAAAAATATGATTTTGGAAATGCAAGGTATGTTCTTACAACTTTGAATTATTTGAATATGGCCATTAAGATTCACCGGATCATATTTCAGAGGCTCAAATTCTCTCTGAACTTGTCATGAGTGGCAATTTCATCATATTCAATAGCTAATGTTTTTCTTTGGAAATTTTGAAAATCTTTCTGAGCCAAGTTCTGTAGAGAAATGAATCAGACAAATGGGCGAAGTTTAGGAAAAGAGAACCTGGTGACATTTTAAAAAAAATTGTGTTGAGGATAATTTTGAGCTCATCTAGCATTTTTGCTCTTATCAAAAATCTAATTTAAAAAAAATATGCAGCACGTATCATGTTGGCCTTCACCATTCATTGTGGAATAGTTTTTAAAATTGAGGTCAGTGAAACTTTAAACCAAATTTTCTGTGTTTCAAGTTTGTCTTTTGGTCCTTTTTGCCAAACATTGCCGATACATGGTATGCTTTTGCAATTTAATTTTTGATCTGAGTTGAGTTTCATGCAAATTAGATAAGTGTTAAGGTATTGAATGAGTCTGGGCTAAGGTACAGCTTTTTCTCAATGTAGAATCTTGAGTGATTTTTTGTGTTTAAAATAAGTATTGTCATTAGATATCAGATTTTTGATTAGCAATAAGAGCTGCTTGAAATTTTTAAAAACTTTTGACATTTTCTCAATAAAAGATCTCAAAAGAGTTGTTGACTAAAAACGTTTCTGAATCTGTTGAAACGTGAATAACACTTTCTTGTCACTAAATGTTTTTTATAAACTGTCTGGTTTTCTCTTTTCAGGAAAATTAATGAGACAATATATGGACACTGATGCTGATCCATGCCAAGATTTCTATCAATATTCTTGTGGCAACTGGGGACGACTGAATCCAATTCCACAAGATAAAGCCGCCTTTGATACATTTGAAATGTTAAGAGAATCTTTAGATTCTGTCCTGAAAGAACTTCTTGAAGCCAAACCTCTACCTGATGAGGCAGAATCACATTTAAAAGCCAAAAATTTATACTCGTCTTGCATTAACTATGGTATGTGTGTTTTCTCTTCTTTTTTTGCACTACAGTATGTCTTTTGTATATCAGGAAGCCTATAAAAAAGTCAGAAACCCATACTTTTATCTCAAATTCAGTAATTTGTCTCTTTGGTTTTTTCGATTTTCTGGGAGCATGCTGAAGAATGAAAGAAGGTATCTATTAAAGTGTGATTCATAATGTATCTTTCATTTCGTTGTTTCTCTAACTTAAGGGCGTATCTCTAATTTCTCATGAGCCCTGGAAAGCACGGGGTTATGCAGAGAACAGGCCTCATGTGGAAATTAAGATACGCCCTTACATCAGAGGAGCAACGATTTAACCCGCGCTTCTGAATTTCAAAGAGACTAAAATAATTTAGCTCCCAACATTTGCTAGCAATTCCAAATGGACCGCGTTGAACAGAAAGGAACCAAGCCACATTAGTCATTGCCAAATTTAACTGGGCAATTTAATTTTTTACACAAAAACGGTTGTGCGGATTTTTGTGAAAATTTCAGTGAAAATTCTCCATGGTTCGAAGCAAATTCCTTAAAATTTTCAAAGAAATCCGAACAAAAGTTCTCTCGTAAAAAATGTAATTGCCCAGTTAAACTTGGCAATAGCTGATGTGGCTTGGTTCCTTTCTGTTAAATTCAGTCCAAATGTTCACTTGATGGTGAAGATGCAATGACCCTGTTTTTGAAAAAGAGGTTTCCAAAGTTATTTTGCACAAAATCGTGATTTTTTTCTCACCATGAATTTTGGCCATTTCACAGGCTCTTTTGGGATACTACCAATCGACAGCAAAACAATTCTTCCAAATAATCACACATCAATGTGAAAACAGATAGATTAATAATTTTTCATTTTCCGTTGATCAGGATTCATGAAAGAGTGATGAATGTGAAAGTAGAAAATTTCTGAATTTTTCTCAATCAGTATCTGCTAAATTCAGGATCCATGAAAGAGTGATGACTGTGAAATTAGAACAGTTCTGAATTTTTCTCAATCAGTATCTGCTAAATTCAGGATTCATGAAAGAGTGATGACTGTGAAAGTAGAAAAGTTCTGAATTTTTCTCAACGAGTATCTGCTAAAATTAGCTTAACACCTTTTTCCTATCTCATTTATTTTTGTGTACAGAAGTTTTAGCGGAGCGTGCTGAAAAACCGCTTATTGATCTCCTTGACAAGTTGGGAGGTTGGCCCATCCTTAGACCAGGATGGGACGCATCAAGCTTTGACTGGATAGCACAGATGGCTCAACTACGTTCATATAATAATGATATTCTGATTTCTGAGTGGGTTGGCCCAGACATAAAAAACTCAGACGAATACATAATTCAGGTTAATTCATGAACTTTTCTCTCTGATTTGATGGGAATGGAACACTGGAGAGTGTATGAAATCAAGCACCTAAGCACATATTTCATAAAAATTTCACTCAAAACCTATTGAACGCATCGGAAAACTTTAAAAATTAACTCATTATCAAGAAATATACGTTTGTAATTGACTGTTGCAGCAAAAGGAGGTCCCTTGAGGGTTTTGCGCATTATGTTGCATTTCAATCTGTTTGGTACGGAAACTTGAAATGGTAACTTAAAGAAGAAGATGGTTTCTGATGGAAAAGAGAGAGAGACTGAAAGTTCATTTGTGGGAGAGCATTAAAAACATTAAGAGCTCCAGAAGAGCACACTTCATTCAGACCGGTTTATAGGGATGTTAGATACACTCAGTTGGAAAGATGGATGACTGAATTTCTAACTTTCGATGGAGCACTTGAGAATTGACTTGCTGTCTTGCTTGGGACGTCAAATTTTGAGTGAAGTTGTTAACTTGATGGCCAGCCCAGCAGGCCTAGAGAAAAATCCATGAGTCCAAGGTTGCATTGCGTCAGCCATTTGGTGTCCAGACAAACAAGAGCATAAAATAAATGAGATGGTATGTCTGATTGTGTGCATGCATCAGCTTAAGGCCTAAAATGCTTGACAAGTAGAATTTAGGAAAGAGACAGAAGAAATAAGAGGAAAAGAGAGAGATGAAAAACCTATCGTAGGGACAATTTTGAAGAGGAGTGTTGCGTAACGCGTGACATGCAACATTCACATTATTATAAACAGTAAATGAAAACTTACCGCATGCAAAAAGACCTCAGCAATGTAGGTAGGTCAAGTTAGGCATTGCAATCAACTTATACGTTAGGCAAATAACTTGACCTTGGTTTCACCTACATTTCCTTCCTCTTCTGATACAACAAGGTATCTTCAGCTTGGGGAAAATTCTTCTATCGTGAGTTATACCAAAATTACCCAAGTGCTTGATTTGACTCAAAAAGATTCTGGTTATTCTGCATAGGAAATGAGTGAAATTACGTAGACAAAAACTGTTATTTTCTAACTCATGCGAGTTGAGTTTGTAAAATTTTAATGGGTCAATAACTGTACCTACCCTATGTAAAATTTTCAACAAGGAAGCATATATTGTGATTCTTAATTTCGTACCCTGTCTAGTGTTCCATTCTAATTTTAAATTTTAATTCTTTAATTGTGGAGGGCAAATAAGAGAAATAAAATCCTATCCGTCAGCTTAGCAACTGAAATCTTATCTCAGTTTGATATTTTAATCGTTTCTCATAATGAGACATTTTTTAGTTTTAGATATCTCTTAGAATGTAAATGTATGTATGTGGTCCCAGATCAGACCAATCTCAGACCTTTCAGCTTATCAGTCCAAGACCCCTCTGGTGTAGCTTGTCAGAATTTACACCAAGGAGCCGTGTCAAAACTATAATTGAATCAGTGAGAACGAAAACACACCAACTCGAAAACTCGATTCCATTGTTACTTCCAGCTCAACTTCCATTAAAGACAGTTTATTTACATAAAGGTTGTTGAAGTTAGCACATCTGTTCGAACTTGAACCTTTATAGTGTCTATAAGTACCTGTCTTTCAGCAGCAAAAATCTTTTTTTTAAAGTAACTTCTTCACCTACTGTGCAGTTTTGTGTGTGTCTTGATTATTTTCATTTTTCCGAGTTGGTGTGTTTTCGTTCTCACTGATTCAATTAGTGCTTGCTCCAGCCAAGCCTGGTATGAAATAGGCAGTATCATCCAACTTAGACACAACTTGGTAGAATTTTTTGTGTTAATCTGATAGTCCACCTAGGGAATAGCCTAATTTAAGGTGGTAGCTATGGATGATTGTTTTTCAAGTGATGTTATCTTGTATGTATTTAAAAGTGTGGAAAACAGATGAAAATTGGATGCAAATGTTTTATTCAATTTATGTGGAAGAAATTGAGAAATACTCTTCTTTTAAAGCGATTGTTTTAATTTTTTAAATTTCAGTTTGATCAAACAAGTTTGGGATTGCCTACCCGAGATTACTACTTACAGTCGTCAAATTTAATCTATCTGGCTGCTTATAGAAATTATCTAATAAAAATTGCCACTTTGCTTGGAGCCTCGCCAGATAATGTAACAGCCCAAGCAGATGAAATTATTTCTTTTGAAATTGACCTAGCGGAGGTATGATTGACTTATCAATCTAATTCAATTTCCCTCTTGTCATTGCAGTTATTTCAAGTCTATATTTCATATATATTTTTATTTTTTTCCCACCAAAGCAGTAGGTTTCTGTTAAAGTGAGAAGTGAGGAGCTTGGAGGACAAGGCATATAGGTGCAGTTTTCGAAAAATTGAGATATTTGTGAACTCAACTAAAACTAGTTTGCAAGTATATTCTGTAAAAAATTCACAACTAAAATCCAACTTTAAAGCATCAAAAAGTAGTTAAAACTTCCTTCCCACCATTAGACTCCATATAATTTTGAAGCTTTAAACACGTATTTCTTGAAGTAGCAAAAACTGTATTTATGCGCCAAGCCCTCCAAGCCCCTCAAGTGGTCTACTTCAGTGGTTCTGGGAACTGGATGGCATTTTATTAAATCTCAAGTTTCAAACATTTTGAATTTATTAATTAAGATAAAGATTAAATTTTGGGAGTTCATCCTGAAAACTCATAATCCTTTAGAGAAACTGGTAAAGTTGGTGCTTCTAGCTTTAGCTTAGTTTAACGTTGTTCTTTTTCATCAACAAAGGCTGATTTGTGGCAGGTGCTCTTTCCAGTTGGAAAATTATCAACAGAAGGCACTTGACAAAATATAATGTTTTCAACATTTTAATTGATTTCTTGACACTTTCAAACTAACAGTTACTCTTTTCTTGAAGTGCCACACCCTTGGCATCACCACTGCCATCGCCCCTCATCTGGGATTTTATTTCGACGTTGGGCATCAGTAGAGGGATCTGCAATGAAAGTTATGTGGTTTAGTTGTGTTTCAACCAGCACATCCTGAATTCATGAGTTTACTTTTGATGATTTTGTGTACATGTTGATCAAACTATTTTCCTCTATTAAGGTTACTTATGTGCTTTGCATTCAATATGTATGCAAGTTAATTTTTTGGAAGGATAAATATGCAGTAGTTTCACGAAGACTCAGATATCAATACTTCAAGCATTTAATTCAACGTAGAAATTAGATATAACTTGCGAACTTTCTCAACCAAATAAGTTCTACTTCGAGTTCATTTTTGCTTCTATATAGTCATGAAGTTCGATAATAATTTTCTGAAGGTAGAATGACCGAGGATTGCAGGTCTAATTTATGCGTGTGGCAAGTTATTCACAATAGAAAAAAATAATTTGTAAGAGGGCAGCAATTTCCACCAAAGTGTGAAGCGATCCTGTTAGACCTATCTGTGTTAGGATCTCCTCTTTTTTCTAAGTCTGAAATGCACAGTGGCTTGGTTATGAAAGCTCAACCACCATTATGCTAAATCGCTTTTTTCGTTTGCAGGTTCAATGCTACCAAGTAACTTTCATTTTCTCTGTGAGTACTTCTGCTGATGCCCAATGACGTTTAAATCCCAGCTGAGGGAAGGTACCGGTGGCCACAGTCTGTAACATCCACATGTAATGGTGTGTACAGAAAATGTAAGTGCGAGATGTCACAGGGAATTAGTTACATAAATTGAAGAGGCAATATCTATCGCAGGCTATCTCCTCATTTCGAAGACTAGGTACTTGGAGTAAAAAATGCTTCATTTTTTAAACTTTTGTCTTTTTTTTGTCAACTTCTAAATTTTTTTCTGATGGCCTATTTTTTTTTTTTTTTTTTAAATAGATAACATTCATGACAGCAAAATAAAAGATTACCTATTATTGTGGATTCAAAGAGAATGCAATTGAATGATATCATGGGTGGAGTACTTCAGAGATATTTTTGTACTTTTGAGAAACACTTGTTCGAAGTTGAAAAAATAAATGTATGATTATTACTCAAATGAACTTAATTGGACGTTGAGGCTAAAAGAACAAACCGTAATGTTCAATTTGTTGAAAAGTGATGTACATTTCCTTTGCCTCACTGCCTATACTCTTCAATTGTCAGTAAAATTTTAAATAAATTTTTACATTTTGAACGATTTTAGATATGTACTCACAATGGACTTGTAAGAGCTCCATGAAGTCATCAGAAAGTTAAACCACATTTTATCACGTCATAGAGTATTTTGAAGTCAATTTTAATGTTTTAACTTTGTTGTATTATTCAATTTAAAAAAACTTATAAATTTATGAATAATTGATTTGCCATCCCTTTTTATTTTTTTAGATCACATCTGCTCCTGACGAGCGTCGAAATGTTAGCGAGTTGTACCGGAGACTTTCGGTGCACGAATTAAGTTCACTGGTTCCAGAAATTGATTGGCAACGTTACTTATCTATTGTTCTAAACAGGCCTTGTAATGCATCAGAGCCTGTTGTAATTTTTGCACTTCGATATGTTCAAGATCTCGTGGTACTGTTGGCCAAAACTCCGCCCAGGTACACTAGTGCCTTTTTTATTAATCTAGTATCATCTTTATTATCTTGCTCTTGTTTTAATTTTTTTGGTGTTAGGTGAATTACTAGCTTTGATGTAAATTCATCCTTGATCAAAATAGTCTCCATTTACTAGGTATGTGTCATACATATTTGTCAAATATTTAATTAAGGTCTAAGGTTTTAAAGATCCCAGAAATGGTTGTTAGTTGAAAAGTCGAAAGGCTATTAGATTTTATAGTTTGAAAATTGAAAGAAATCCTTGTTTTAGACAAATTAATTTTTTTTAAGTAAAATGGAATTTATCAACGGTATGCCACAAAGAGGGATGAAGGAACCGAAATGAAAAAAAAGTAATATGTACAACTATCAAACATGTTGAATGCTTGGAGCAAATTTTTTGGGTATCAAGTTTTGCACAGTACACTTACTTTTAGGTTCTGTCGTCCAGTTTTTGGGTGCATGGCATTGGGTAAAGTTAGAATACTCCAACAGCCTGATTGTTGAAACTCTCTCTTGCTTTGTAGGCAAGACATAGCTCTATTCTGTGAAATATATTATTTTTAATGTCTAATTTTGCTGTCATAAATTGTAATAATCAGGCTGCTGGAGAAGCACTGTTCAAGAACTAGCCTCATACTTCTTTCGAATGTATGTGTGAATTTTGTGTTGCAGGACTATCTCAAATTATTTACTGTGGAGATTTGTCCGGCATAGAGTGAATAACTTGGATGATCGATTCCAAGAAGTGAAACAAAGATTTTATTTCATTTTGTTCGGCCGTGAAAAAGCTCCGCCCAGATGGAAAAATTGTGTCGCACAAGTCAATAGTAACATGGGTATGGCATTAGGAGCTATGTTTGTTAAACGTTATTTTGATGAAAACAGTAAAGACGATGTAAGTTCCAACACTGTTGCCTTTTCATTGTTTTCATTATTACCATTGTTTTTTGTTTAAAAGGTAAATATTTTCAGAGAGTGTGACTTTTGAGTAAGTATGAGGTATATTAAACTTCAGCATTGTTGACTTGCATTTTCAAATATATTTGTGATGGACATAGGTATTCAATCATTAGATAATCTTTTCTTAAATTTCAGGTTTTTTCTTCAAATTTGTAATCTTTCTTAAAATCTATTTTTATCTTCGTTTGAAGGCCTTTTAAATTGTGTTGGTGAGGGTAGAAAATAACCTCATCTTGTGTTTTGACTGAAAAATACGAGGAATTATTACTCCTTAAGATATTGCTTCCGCAAAACAGAATTCTGGCCCAACTTAGTAACCATAACAAGATTGCGATGAATTTAAACAAAGAAAGTTTACTATCAATAAAACTAACCAAACGGATTTCAAAATTGATGTTGTCAGACTATCTTAAAACCGAGGTTTAGGAGAGGTATTTTCCAAAGTTTTAATCAGAAGGTAAGTTCAAGTTCCATTCTTATCTGTCATTTTTCCTGGTAAAATGATTGCAACCATCCCTCTTGCTTCCACATTAGTTGTAAACTATCAGCAGGCACTTTCAAGCTTTTTGTGGACTCTCCTCGTGTTTTCTTGATGAATTTACTTTTTAGCAGTAAGCATTGAAGTAGAGTTAGTAAGTTTTGTTTGATGGTTCCAATGTTGAGCTTAGCTTCGAATTTCTTTAGAAATTGCTTATTTCAGTAACTTTTTAGCAAGATGTGTGTGTTCGTGTGGTGGATCACCTTCCTATGATCATGAAGATACAAAAAACAAATTAATTTTGGAATAATATTTTTTACTGTAAAAAAAAATAATTTTGTTTCTTATAAAAATTAACAAAATAGTATGCATGTCGATCACAATCAATTTTTCGATTGTGGAGTGCAACTTAATGCTATGAATATAGCTTTCAAAAAGTTTTCTAGTCTAGGTTTTAACAATTTGATAGTACAAAATCTGATTTTCAAATATTTAATTTCTAAGGTACTTACACATGTAAAAATAAAAAACTTAACGTGTCTGAATTACATAGTGGGAAAGGAAAAATCCTATCTTTATTCTTATGTCACCTTTTTATCAGAATTTATGGACCCATAAGTTCCTCACTTCGGTCTTTTGTCAAGTCAATGTCAAATCTCTCGCTGGCCATCAACCCAAACTCCAGTTTTAAATCATTACATCCCTTCCAAGCTCCCTATAATTTTCTCTTTCCCACTTTAAATTAGCACATTGAAAACAAGCAAACTCCTTTACAATCGTTTCAAGGTTGTGCAAACCTTCCTCTAAATGACAGAAATTTTCTAAGATTTCTTTTCTCGTTAATGATAAAAAAAGGTGGTGGTTTTAGAATCCTTACAAATGGACAGAAAGAAGGGCGTCACAGGAAATGGTACATTTTCAAAATTTTTGATGCTTGCCTTTACCTTTAAAGCGACTTATATCTCTTTCCTCCCCATTTATGAATGAGTTTCGGCATCTCCTCTGCAACCTCTTCTTTCATATTCCCTCACAGTTACAGAGAGAAGTTTCCATCCCTTTGAAAAGGTATTTTTTGCCTTGCTCATTATTATTGTTTTTAGCTTCAGTTAGTAACACAACTAGTGATATTTCAAGTAGGCATGGAAAAACTCGATATAGGAATGAAAATCCTGTAAGACAGGCAATGATTCATATTATCTCCTTCAATTGATTAAAATTTTTTTAGAGGAATTGATATTTTTACACAAAACTTATTTAATCAAAAAAGTGTACTTTAAGATTCTCATTCTCAATAATGCAACTCCTCAATTCTGCGGTAAAATAGTGCTAACAGTATGATATTTGCAAAGTATAATATCAAGTAAAATCACAACAAACTTGAATTTCCAACAATTTTTTTTTTAAAATTCGGCATTTGTTGATTCTCTTTTTTTTTTGAGAACCTCAGTGCAGAACTTTCAGTGATACTTTTTATGTGGCATTCAGACGATAAATTCACAATAGGTAGCTACAGAAGTAGGGTTGATTGCAAGTTTTTTATCCATGATAATTAAACTGTTAGTAGAGAAGAAAAATCTGTTGAAAGGATATTTTGTCTTGCAAGGCCGAATTTCAGTACACTTTTCTTTAATTTTACAATTTATTGAGCGTTTAACAAATAATTGATTTTTCCATGAATAAAATATTGGAAAGACGACAAAGGCTAGGATTTCTTTTTGAAAAGAAAAACAATTTCTGATTTTCTGATGAGTAACAATTTGACATGACAAGAGGAAAATCTATCCTCAAAACATCATTAAATGTTGAATGATTACTTTAATATGTTCCCTTCTCTTAACTGGAGATCATCACACTGTTGAAGTATTAGGTCTAATTCAGAACTATAAAAGCCCTCTCTTCCATTGAGAGTAGATGGCTTCAGCACAAGCTTGAAAGGTGCAAAATCACAGGCAAAAGACTGCAAAATGCAAGTAGTAAGTCTCCAGTGACGCTGGACCCACACTGAATCAGCAGGGATTTAATTAGAGATTCGTCTCTTAATTTAGGAAACACTGGTAACATAAAAATTTAGAATATATTCTTAGTTTCCTTAAACTGAAGCGGGTCAAAAAAGCTGCTTCCACAATAAATGTATTAGCGCAATTCTTGTCCTAGAGTTGACAATTGTTTTAAAAACTGTTTAGCATTATCTAAAGTTGATGCCCCATATATTACTTTTTTTGAGCTACTAATACCACTGCTAGGATTTGTACTCCATTTCCCCTTAGCATAATCTATTAAGTTCTGATACTCAATATAATTCCCGCCACCAACTATGAATACGATAGCCTGAGTGAATTGTGAAAGATTAGATCTAGGTGGGTCATTTACAGGCCTAAGTTGTTTAGGATCAAAGTACCGATACTGACCGTCAGCCTCTCGACCCTCCATGATTTCATCAACGATTCTCGTTACCGGGAGATTGTGACGCTTTATGACAAGATTTTTCACTCCTTCCATCACGAATGATGACCCTTGAGAGACTAGCTTTGAAAACATACTGACAGTTTTTGTTCCACCTCCTGTGTACTGATTAGGTGCTGCAGCCATTTTTACGTAGGCTTTCCACCTTTTGATGTACATGATTGCTTCTAGCTCGCAACCTTGATCTTTGAGAGCTGAGCAGTAATGATCAAACTCAACTTCAGACATCTGAGAGTTGCAGATGTAATAAATGATGAACATTCTGACTTTATCTTCACTTGTGCCAGACTCAGGATCAGTTATAATGTCCATAATTGACCGATCCAAACTAGCGCGTGACATAATCTTTTCCTCTAATTCGAACAAAGTATCCAAACGGCGAGACTTGATGGAATTCAAAACAGCAGTTGCAATAGTCGTATGAGTATCAATGAGCCGTTTCTTTTCAAGGTGTTGAGGTAGAGAACTAACAGCGGAGGTGAGTTTAGCAGTACTATCCATTACGGTGAATGCGGCTTCGTTGTCATTGTCTACACCCATTGCGGCTTTCAAGTTTTTCACTTCATCTTCTGATGCTCTCAGTTGCTCTAGTTCTTCTTGAATTGCTTCAGCCACAATAGGGAATGGACTTGCTTTATGAGCAACCCAAAAAGAGTCTGTATTGTCGAGGTGGCAGGCTTTGGCTTTACTCCGCGCCCCTCCACCAGGAGACTTGCCACTTGCTTCTTTCACAACAACTTTATTTAACGACAGGTCAAGGACATCATGAATTAATGCTTGATAGGTCCAAGTGTGGTGAAGTGGCGTTGCCATATCTAAATTCCGATCAAGAATGATGAGCAAGGGCCGTTGAAAATTATACGCTCCGGCGACGTCTCCCAGAAAAAGGCTGTTTCTCGAATCTCTGAGATTTTCACGCAACTTCTTATCAAGTTTCTCTGCAACCATTTCAGCTGCATTTCCTTTTGGGCTTCTGATGACTGGAATCGCACTCATTGTTACAAACACCGAGAAGAGACTCTCTACAATAGTGTCCATGATTGCTTCCATTTCAGAATCCTTGATATCACCCTTGTTCATTGCATAATATGAAACTGCGCTACAGTCTTGCTGACGCAAGATGAACAGATCATCTTCTAAGGATATAAAATTCAAATACTGATCAAATACTTTGTTTATACTTGCGACACAGTTAGAGTGAAAAGCAGCAGCAGCAAGGTCCTCAAGTTTTTGTCTTGAGATGGCAGATATGAAATTTAGGTGGTACATGTCATAAATTCCATTTTGGAAGTCTTGCCTAATCCTGTCCAAGTTTTCCTCCGACGGCATACAGAAGTATATGGCTGGGACATCAGGAATAGGATCTCGATCAGAATGAAGTTGAACATATAGTGTAACACCCAATTCGCGCAGCTCCTTGACAGAAATTAAAGGTAAAATTATATCTTGTCCAAAACGGTCATAAACTAGCACTTTCCACACTGGCTCGTAAGATATGGTAGATGGCTGCGATTCATTCAAGTTCAGCATTTGCCTCAAAGCAGCTGTCTGTCTTTCCTTAATTGTGGCCATTTCAGTGAGTTAGAGTCTGACTGAGTTGTCTGAATGAGTTGAGAAAAATAGTCTGTCGGGCGTTGGACACTTACGAATCTAGAAAATAAAACTGGAGCAGGATCATCATGCAAGAGTTAATACATTCATCGTCTTATCACCACTCAGCCGCGCACTGAGAAATTTAATTTGCCGGGTTAAAAACAGTACAATTTTTGCTTCGATTTACTTTTAGATAAAAATTTGACAGCGAAGTTCCACGTTATCAACAAGTCGAGAATGTCAACATAACCTGTAATCATTCGTCACCGGTTCCGTTGACTGATGACCTCGATCTGATGAAGTGGGTTCTGCGTTCTGCAGACTCGGTTTTTAGTGAACGTTCCGCTTTCATCTTTTTGTCTGCAGAACGAGACAGCCGCCGCTCTCACTATCAGATGAAGGGGGGAGGGTGACGAACTTTTGCCATCCCTTTGAAGAACGAAAAAAAAATGGATTGTAACGAATTTACTCTCCAAATTTTGTTGAGAAATTTGTGTGAAAAAAATCTGCAAAATTACCCTCTCGGGGCTGAAAATCTGCCTCAAATTTAGGGGGGGGGGAGTTGCAATGCGCCCTCATGCAAAATCTTTTCGAAAAATAGAACTTTTTGAGTCGTTTAAATTAATAAAAAAGCGGGAAGATAGATCGCAACTCTAAGTAAAATATTCCTTCTCTACTCCTCTTCGTCCTTTACTTTAATCATTACATTATAAGAAAGATTGAAGATTTAATTCAGTAAGTACTTTCTTTTGTACAGATGGCTAGCATTTTAGGAATGTTTCCCTTTTACCGAAATTTAGTGGCAGGAAAATTTGCTTTTATGTCACTAAGATGTGAATATCTACTTAATTTTTTTACATTGTTTTCTGTCACAAAAAACTTACTTTTGTCTTTGGAAAAATTTGACCTCATAAGTTGAGGGACCCATCCCCATGTTAAGTGATCAGGGTGCCTTTCAGTGTAATGCTTATTTAGAACATGTACCTACTTGTAGACCACTAAAAAGTCGTTGTTAAAATATATAAAGCTAAATTTCGGATTTCTCGACCCACCCTACTCGTCCCCCATTCTCGTGCTTTTATGATGTAGGTCCTTATCCTTTAATTTGTAAAAAGAAAATGCCTTAACGCTTTCCTCGACCCCCCCCCCCCCCCCCCCCCTTACTAGAGCATTATGTATTATATGAACGAGAAAAAAGAAAAATTGCCATTGAATGTTTGGTGTTTCCTCTACACCTAAGCATGATAGAGGTAATGGCTATTGCGTGATTTTTTGTCGCATAATATGAGTATTATAATGTTTACAGGAAATGCTGTCACAGTCATTGATTGGCAATATTGCTTGTAAAGAAATAAAGTTACATGTTTTGTGATGCAGTCGAAACTAAGTTGCTCTGCCAAAGAAAGTTTTTCCCTCAATTTTGCACTGTACTTAATATTCTGTTATTATTGTGTGATTCTAGACATTGGTTATGACGAAAGAAATTCAGCAGGCATTCCAAGAAATTCTAAATGAAACTACTTGGATTGACATAGAAACTAAAAAGCTTGCCTCGGAGAAAATTGATGCTATGATGTTGAGAATCGGATATCCTAACTTTATTCTGGATAAAGCAGAGCTCAATCATCATTACAAAGATGTAAGTTCTAATGGTGTCGGTTATTGTGAAGTAATTGAAGAGAAAAAGTCGTTTTGCTGATCATCAGATGCAGAGGTTGATTCCTTCATCTACCTACTAAGATACCTCTATTTTGTACCCACTGTTATAATTTTCAACACTGCTAATAAAACTGGGCTACCATGGGTAAACAATCTTTTCAATGAGAGGTCCTAAACTATAATTGGAAGGACAAAAGAGCTTTGCTTTTTTTCTTTCAATTACTTACAGTTGTTGATCGGTAGGAACGCGTGTCTTGGTTTGCAATGTTGCAGACTTTCTGTCTTACTTTATTTTTTAAATAGAAAAATACTCAAAATACTCAACAATATTCCTTATAAACTTAACTGAGTTTTCTTTTCTATCTGAGGAATATTTCATGAAAATTACAAGCAAAATAGCGTTGGTTCGTTCTTGTTTGATAAAATTAAATGAAGGCAAAGATTTTGAAACACTGCTGACAAGATAGGCATGCGTTCTTTCAGTTTCATCCTCAATACTCAGCAATACTTCACAAAAATGGAAAGAAAAGAAGTAAAATCTTCTCATAAGACTGTCAGCTGGACAACAATTTTTAATGACAAATTTTTAACCTAATGCTAGACTCTCAAGAACTCGTGCCAATTTTAATATTTTAACATTTATTTTAAATAAATAATTGTAATTTTATTTATTTTTTTAATGTCCCATCTGACATTTCTCTTCTTTCTTTTAGGTGGAAATTGAATCAGATAAATATTTCGAAAACACTCTGAATATTTTACAACATTTAACGAGAGTTGAGCAATCTCATCTTGGGACTCCTGTGAATAAGTCTCAGTGGTGGAACTCAGCTCCTGCAATCGTTAATGCCTATTACAGTCGTAATAAAAATCAAATAAGTAAGTAATGTTTGTTTCGAAAAAAAAATTAGAAAAATGAAGAATAAACAGTGAATCTGATTTTTCTGCTCAAAGCTCACAACTGCTAAATGTTTAAAACTAGGTAGGCAGGTACTCTCTGAACACGTTTTCCTGACACTGTCTTGTATTTATGTTGTACTGGGGAAAGGTCGTCAAGAGTTGTAACTTTTTCAAGTTAGGATAAATTAATCAGAGTGCAAGTTGTACCATCCTGCTACTGCTAATGATCATTTTCTGGGCTTAATTTATATAAATTATCCTGATACAAGGAGCACCTATGCTTTTAACAAACAATGAATTAATAAATAATAAATTATTATCAAAGAAGAAAGATTTTCAGGTCTTCCTTTAGGTTTTTGACAACAGCTACAGACAAGTGCACATAAATCACGACAATCCTATAAATGTAAATGGTCCATAATTTTTTTGCTTTTCTCTTTCCCAGTGTTTCCTGCTGGCATTTTACAACCTCCTTTCTATCATCGACATTTCCCTAGGAGTTTGAACTACGGAGGAATTGGTGTTGTAATTGGTCATGAGATCACGCATGGTTTTGATGACAAAGGCCGTCTTTTTGATAAGAGTGGCAACCTGCATCGATGGTGGAAAGATGAAGCTATCAGTAATTTTCACGAAAAAGCGCTATGTCTGATTGGTTAGTAGCAGTTGGATTTTAGCGTTTCATTATAGAAATTAAAAATGAAGCAACAGATAAAAGATTTTGATCAACTTATTTAACGCCTTCCTCCCCCTTGTAATGCATGTGTAAGACAACCTCTTTCCTCTCCCCCTTCTTGAATTACCTAAGACTTGCCGGATCCGACCCCCAAATATTTCAGAAATTAATGGACAGAGCTTGAAAAATAGCTAAAATAAATATTTTAAAAGGTTAAAAATTTAAAGTGGAAGGCTTATGTAAAACTAGGCTTGACTCCTCTTCTCTCTCGTAAGACCCCATGAGACAAACTCAGACTCCCCCCCCCCCCTATTTAGTAGCTCATGTAATCCTTGAACGGTCCTAAGAGTCAAAAGCTTACAGTTCACTTTGGTCAAAATTTACAAAATTTACAATACAAATTTTACTCTAATTATTTTTTCAGATCTGAAGACACAATTTTGTAATTACTCCATGCAGAGTCAAGACATATTTGTGTACAAATATGCGCTATTTATTAATCTAATGTGGAATAAAACAAAAAGAAATGTCATTCAAATTGGCCATGTATCAGTTCATGCAGTAGCAACTGAAAAAACAGAAGTTTCATCTAATCTAAGAATAATAATGTTTACATTCTTTGCAGCAAAATTTAATTACATGATACCTTATGCACGATATTTAATTTTATTTCATTTCACTTGTGTTTAGAACAGTACAGCAAATATGTAGTTTCCGAAGTTAGCATGCAGATAGATGGAATCAATACTCAAGGGGAAAACATTGCGGATAATGGTGGCATTAAACAAGCTTTCAGAGTAAGTAAAATTTTCTTTCAATAATTCTGTAAACCAATTTGTTCCATTTCTTTTTCCAAAGTGAACTTCTTAACTGTCCTCAAATAAGTATTCTGTTTCAACCAGTTTACTTTAACGGAACCTTCTTGTAATATTATCTAGATGACACTCATGCATAAAAGTACATCGATGGTGAAAATGCAAAAACATGTTTTTTTCTCTGTGGTGTTTCAAAAATTACCGGTCTAGTTTTATTTTATCAAAGAAGGACAAACTTACACCATAGCTCAAAATTTCCAAAAAATACACATTCTTTACAAAAAGGGAAAAAGTGAGGGAACTGAAAATGAGGTTGAGTCTTTTTTCACTTAAAAGTAAATTACAACAGAAAGTCTGCAGCAATGTTCACTGATTGTGAGATATGCGTTTTTGCTTTTACATAGTCAATATTCAAAGAAGTTTACATCCTCCAATGATGGGACATAATTCAGCACAATTCTTTAATTGTTATTATTTTTTAGGCTTACAAGAAATGGCTAAAAACCAACAATGGTGCTGATGAGACTTTACCAGGACTTAACGCCACAGGCCTTCAGTTATTTTTCCTGAATTTTGCACAAGTGTGGTGTGGGAATACAAGACCAGAGGCTACCAGAAATAAATTGAAAACTGCTGTACATTCGCCAGGAAGATTTCGGTAAGTATTTTTAAATACCTGTTGTGTATTAAAATGCCTGTATGGATGTGTATTTTATTTTTGACTCTTCCAAAACAAAATCCTAAACTTTCTTCAGCTGGTCTAGAGACTCTTCAGGGTAGCAGCTGCTGGTCTAAAAGGTGGAGCAGATAATGACTAAAATACAATTTTTACAGAGATGGAATTTTAATGAGCCAAACAGATACTATGCTGTTCGCTTGCATCTTAATCAGTGATGAAATACCAATGTGCGTGTCAGGCGATTGCCGAAATTTTACCCTAGTAAAATGGCAGCATGATCAGAGTCAGAGTAATTTTGGTGTGTGATCATCGGTTAGTTTCACTTGATATTGTCAAACATTATCACGCATGATTGAGACCAACACAACACTGTTAATTTGCACTGTAACAATTAGGAGCTTGTGTCTATATTGCAATTTTTCTCTCCTGCTTGACTTAACTATTTTATTTCTTTTTACAGGGTCATAGGTACACTATCTAACAGTAAAGATTTCTCGGAGGTGTTCAACTGTCCACTAGGATCTCCCATGAACCCAGTCAAAAAATGTTCTGTGTGGTGATAACGGAAGCATGTTCCCAGTCTCTGTCTCAATTAATCTTTTCTCCTTACTGAAAATCATTTCCTTTTTCAAATTACTGTGATATGATCCATTGAGTACCTATTCTAAAAACCGGGTTTTCTTTCAATGTTGTTAGAGAAAGTCAGACTTTAGAGGTTCTGAAAGGTTAATCAAAAGGAAAGCCTCAATTTTAGACTAAGATATTATTTTTCATAGACTCCATAAATGTATAATTGAGAATCTGGGGACAAGCAGGGCATTTTTCAGTCTTGTTGTTTAAGAATCTCTATTGCGAATTCATGTATTGGAGAAAAATTTAAGGAGTGATTTCTCCGGAATTTATCCTTTAGGATTATGAAGAATATATTCGTAAAAAATTTCCATGACACGAATGTAGTCACTTACCTTACAAAATTATAGAAGAGATTCAGACGTGCTACAACCGAGATGTGCCCCTCTTGTAGCTAGTGCACCAATCGACCTTAATGTCAAAGCAAAAGAGCTGAAGTTGTTGATATGCAAGTCTGATTTGAGGTCTTGCACAGATTTGGAATTCAAAAAAGTAATAAACCTGACTGAAGGCACAAAAAAAAAAATTATTGAAGAACCTTTCAGGTACTTCAAGTTTGGTTGGAGTCCTCTGCAGGCATTTAAGGCAGTTCTAAAATCACAGGTGAAATGGAGACTCATAATAGCAAAACTAGGAGGTCGGGCTTAGATACAAGAACGACAGAATCTTCAGAAAATCATCAATAAGGAGTAGAGATAGGTGTAATTTTCAAGAAAGCTTAAAGGATGTACTTTTCAAATGTACATTCACTATTTATGATAAATGCGAGACTTTGAATTCAAGGAAAGTGACAAACTTGAAGGATATTGACCTAGAAAGGTTTCATATTTTTGAGTGCTTTCAACGGTAAACTTTAATTATGATGAAAACTGATGATACTTTTCTGCTCTGATTCTGCTCAGAATCATACACCTTAGGGTAACCTAGAATCAAAGCGGATACTTGCATTCCCATCTTTTGCGGAGAAGTGATAGTCCAATAAAAAAATAGACCATCCATGAAATGCAATTGACGAAAGCTCTTTAAGAAACTATCGGAGCTGGTTAGTTCATTTTCTGATTGGTCCTGGGATTTGAAGTGCAAGAAGGCACGTCCATACGCAAAGTATTGGACAGATTTTGGTGGTTAATCTCTTGAAAATCTCCCGATGTAATATCCCTGAAACTTTCAAAACTCAAACATTAGAACACTAAAATGCTGATAAAACCTCTGACAATTGACTAGCGTTCAAGGAAAATCAGACTGACATCAACAGCATTGTTCATTCAAATACAAGTGATTTTTCATGATCAGGACTAGCAGATAGTCCATTTTCAGCGATGCTACTGCCAACGTTTGTTCTAGGTTACCCTATTATACTTGACTGCCTGTTGGAGAATTTTTTAATTGTGTGTTAAAGTTGAGAACTTAGGATCTACATTTCGTATCTCCTGCATTACTAGTTTTTCAACTCAGAATATTGCAAAGAAACATTCTTCTTGAAGTAATTTTGGAGATCAGTACATACATATAAACTAATTTATTGCTATTTTGCATTGTTAAACCTCTTTTGATACATAAATTGTAAATTTCAGCTTAATAAATTGCATTTCTTCTTAATTGATACTGTTACTTAATAGACTCTCATAGGCACATTTTTTTGGAAAAGCAGCCTTTTAAACATGGCAAATCCATTTCAGAAACCATTTTCTTATGCACCGATAGGTATATTTAATTGATTCCCAGCGCAACATGGTGAACTGAGCGTCCATTAAGTTTAAAGGTGGATATTTTCGTGGCCAGTTCTCAAGGAAAGTTAAATTCAACGAAACAAAACATCTTTGAACAGAATTAACATTTTTATTTCAGTTGTTTTTACAAAATATTCTTTTTCCAAGAATGACATAGTCAATCGATATTCGATTGGTTTGGAGCAATTCAACGAAGGCAACAACAGCTTCATAACTGTAAAAAATTACCTAAAAACTAATATACGGTTGAACATAATAATATGGATGCTAATGGCCGCTCTTTAAAAAACAATTTCAACAGTTTCATACTTTCTAATAGGTAAAAACTTTTTGCGAGTAATCATTAAACTCTCAACATCAAATCAGTTCAAATGCAAGAAGGAAGTCAATTATTCAAGATCTTAGGCTACTTTTTGAGAAAAAGGTCTACTAGTAATACTTAAGCCTACAACAAATCCATTAACTTCTAACAGCATTCGTGAGGATTACTGACATTCTGAATTTTAATTACAGATATCCTAAGCACCAGGTTTATGTCACAACCTTATATTTCCTTTCTGATGACAATATGAGCTCTTGGTCGGAGATCGACGCAAAATTCCTGCTAGAACATTGCTGATTCAGTCAATCAATTACATATATTTTCAACATAAATTAAATATTTGGTTCTGAGATAAAACTGGCAGTCAATGTGCGTTCCAAGTTCAGCATAAATGCTACTTATTTCCACACTTCAGGCTAATCTAATATTTTATGTGTGTGCTTAATAAATTATTCAGCGGCAGACAGGAGTTATAAAAAATCAAAGAAAGTTTTGATTATGGTCTCAATTTCTATCGACAGGAAAACCCGCCATTACTTCAATAGACAGAAATTACGGTGCTTCTAGATTTTAAGAGACATGCTTCTTTGACCGCCAGATGAGGAGTCTATGATAAGTCTTGATGGTGGGTTTTGATTTAACTAGTAAGGAATCTGGCAAAAGAAGCTTTATGACAACCTGAAGATGAAATAAGGATTATCGCCATCCAAGTGCCACTAGTCAGCAGGAGGTAACAGGTCCTGAAAAAAAAAAAAATCCTTCGTTAAAAAATAAAATGATTGTATTATGTGAAGACAATAAAAGCCTAGTTTTAGAGAGCGGCAACCTGAATAGTTATAGGTGACTTGCCCCCTTTTGGCGCTAGATGTGCTCTCACTGAAGCGAACAGATTGCTGCTTCTTCAAGAATTATTTTCATCATACCTTGATACAAAATATTGTGGAAAAATGTAGAGCTCATTTACACACATTAATTAATGAGGGGACAGAATTTCAGATGGTGTGATAGGAACTTTTCTAGATCCGATAGATTCCCTCCGGATAAATGACTAAGGTTACTATTTAACAAACTTCATTTCCTGTTAATCATTACGGAGGAAAAGGTAGGATCTACGATAAGAGAAAATTGGAGCATGGAAAAAAAGATGACTGCTAACAAAATGGGAAGAAAAAGCCATGTAAATCAACTGCATAAAAGCTAGGAGGCATCCCTAATAATAATAACCAGAAGAGCTTTCAAAATGCCAGTTACGCAGTCAAATTTCCTACTGATTTTGGCTAATATTACTTGAGAACAGTAGAAAATTTAACTGATTAGCTGGTATTTTGACACTGTTCTACTTGTCATTTTCATTAGGCATACTCTGCAATATTCGATACCTAATGAGGCACTTAAAATTTAAGTTCAAAAGAGTGATGAATCATTTGATGTGAAGACGGTGCTAATATAATGGGAATGTTGAAACATCGCGACATTCAACAAAATGAAAAAGCAGTATCCTGAATTAATTCAAGGACACATATCACAGGATTGAAGGGAATGAAGTCTATTTGAATAAAAATAACCTTGATAGAATCCTATTGCATTCATGATAGTCAACTACAAATATCTCAATTTGGAACTATTGTTTTCATCAAATCAGCTTATCGATCTTTCATAGGCACGCATTCCTCTCCAACTTTGTTGGCTAAAACTATTTCGCCTCTTACAACCCTGCACAAAGCCTTTAATTAACTAGCTGCATTAAATCAAAGGTTGCCTTTCTGGCAATGCTCTCATTAAAATAAAACGTGGGGGCAATACAGAATTATTTTTACGTTTTTAAGTGGTCACAAAAATTTAGGACAGACCTCTTGTTACAGGAAAGTAACAGTGTTGGTTCAAGGCGCAGCGACATAGGTTACTGGGGAATTAATTCCGTCCCTGCCCTTTCTTTACAGTGCTCTTCCTTGTGTAATTTAATGGAATGTGTTCATTGGCACTCTGAGTTCTGCATGCCAACCAATGAGTCATTCAAATTATCCAAAGCATTCAGCTATCAGGTTCCATTTGCAGTGGATGGCATACCTGAATTGGAGAAAATTATTCACACAAAACTAAGCTTTACACGTAGTGATTCTTCCTACTGCAGCCTAATTTGGTGCACAGAAAGTCCCAACTAAGTTAAAGTCGCTCTTTGACCTAATGAAGATTTTGATAATTAGCTTTGATTTTTTATTTTGTGAGATCGACCTCATGCAGAGCTTGAATTGTGTCTTTTTTTAAGGTAGCAAATTTCAAAATGAGTTATATGACACATGCATACATAACTAGAGGATACACAAAACACTCATAAAGGAGCAACCGTATGGGAATCTACTTAAGCCTTGTTTGATTTAGGTGAAACCTTCAGCTTTTAGAATAATACTCTCAACGATTAGCAGTTTGATAATGTTGAGCATTAGTGGCAACCACCTTGGTGATTTGAAAACTTCTAGGGTGACATGTTTCTTAGAATTTTTTCTTGCAGGGATCTACAGGTTTGTCACAAAATGACTTCGTCAGAAATTGAAACCACTTCCCAAAAATCACATGAAACATAATGCTACCAAAAACTGAATCAGAATACAAGGGTGCAAAATCTTTCAAGCTTCTAGACTTTCACGCACCCACTGGCCAGTTTTCCACATTTGCCTCATCCGCTTTGGACAAAATTTCTCACCAATTTAAAAAAGATGACCTTTTTTTATCTTTGACTTTCTACTTATGTTTTTAAGGAGGGCACTATTGAGGAAAATGTTATGTTTTGAAAAAAGTATTGATTATACTTACATACAACTTGTCCTTGGTGAGGTGAGATTTGAGGTCAAACACTTTCCCATTTCTAGTTCGGCGTTTCATGTCTCATCTTCCTGATAGAAATTAGAGTCCTTAGCATCAAAGTAGGAAGTTAAAAAGTAAACTACTGCTTCATAGGTAGCCATCATGATTGCTGTGTTTGGTATCTGACGGATTAATTGCGTGCTTAATCCTCTGTACAGACCTCGATGTCCTTCTTCATGATATACAGTCGCTAATGTTTGGAAGAAACTCCGATACTTTGTTCCTTCTTCACGCAATCTTGTTCTTGCAACTTCTGTAAGATTCAAAATTTGCAGCAAGTTAGTGTTTCGGAAATGTTGTACTTCGTGTAGTAAAAGAGTGAAATGCGACAGATCATTTTGATATAATAAAATGGTGGTGAAAAAAGTATAGTCTGTGTGTGACTAGTGTGAGGAAGATTTTGTAAATCTTATGAGGGTTTACTCATTTATATTTGTACTAGGCCAAAGCTAAGAAGATGTCTAGACTATGGCGATTTTTTGCGAACGCTGGCAGCAATGTAACTAAAACCAGGGCTAAGTTTCCAGCTTGCATGGAACGTCGCGACAACACAGCTATATCAGGGATGGTGATTATCAAGAGAAAATCGGTTTCAGTAAATTGATAGGATTTTGACAAAAAAAAAAAAACAAAAAAAAAATGATAAGATTTACAAATTGGTAGCAAAAAAATTGATTTTCCTGAACTTCCAAACAACAGGCAAGACCTATGAACAATTTCTAAAACCAGAAGAAATTTAACAGTAACCAAAATTTCATTTTTCACAGCAAGATTTCTATGATCGAAATGGTGATAAATCCCATCAGTGCTGTGTCTATTTTAAAAATTTGAACCAAAACTTAACTAAATTGTTTGCCAGATTGAACCACTCACTGGCTTGAAAAATCGATTCCAATTTGAAATCGACCCTGGAAAATCGATACAATTCTTAATTACTTTTTCAAATAAATTGACGTATCAAAAAAATCAATTTCAAATTACCAACCCTAGGACATATTAGTCACTGTTGTTCTCAATTGTAGTACGTTTTTGTCGCAAGAGTATCATTATTTAGTGTAACTACTCAATTAACACGGGATTAATATCATAATTATTGGCCAAATAAAGGAGGAAGTATAAGTTTTTAACTATTGATCTACCGAAAGCACCATTTTGCTTATTCACTCATTGAAATATCAAAAAAATAAAAACAATTTATACATACCATGAGGATAAGCAATGCAAGATGCTACAGTCTTTGAAACACCACCAGCTACCATAAATTCAAGAAAATCTTGAGATGACTTGGAATCATTGTCTGATGTGGAACTGGCCATCCTTCGTGCGTTTAGTTTAGCTTTAATTGATTCATATATCACAAAATGTACTATTGTTTCTGATATTCCGAAATAAGAGGCAGTAATACCTTTGTAAAATCCTCTGATACCCTGCCAAAAACAATCAAACAATCAATGAAAGAGAATTAATTCAAATTTAAAAATTCAACTCCTTCCTAATGACCTATGGTGGGAGAGCAGATCTGTCATGCTGAGGAAAACATCGTAAAAGCCTTCAGAGGTTGCCAAATTTCCCCAAGATAAAAAAATAATTTTCAGGTGAATCCAAGAATATTTTCCTTCCAATTAATAATAATTGATTGAGTTGCATGAAAATTATGATTGCATTAATAAGTTCTAATATTTGTAATTTGTAAGAAATTTTTGATTGATTTAGGGAATAACGGATATCGCAGATAAATGAATTGAGTGACATTTCTGTGCCTCTGGGAAAAATGGATTTTAGGTTAAAAAATTGTATGAAATCTCAAAATACAAATTGACTGCGAACTAAACACCGAGGCAAAACAATGAGTTTCCAAGTTCCATTTCTTCACAAAATAAATCCTTAAAGAAGTATAACTTGGAATAACTAATGATCAATTGTTTTAAAAGTAACTTAAGTGATTCTTTAATCCTTACTACGGTCACTTTCGCCGCAATAACCTTATGAGTAAAAATGAGGAGAGCAGGTATTCGATGAGAATATTTAAAATAAAGAGGCGTCCACAAGTGCACGCGTCAAGTTTCAAAAATAAGCAGTAAAACTTAATAAATACAAAATTGTAAATACCTGGGTTTTATATATCCTTTGAATACATTCACTGGCAGTTAAATTCTTGTTATGATGTAACTGTAGTCTTGTCTTCACAAACCAAATTGGATTTGTAGCAGTTGCTGCTGTGAATCCTGTAACAAACAATGATTGAGAAACAATGATTAGAACATTTCATAGAGAGTTGAACATTATTCTCTGAGCAACTAATCAGCGATTGAAAAAATGAAAGAATCACATTACACTGAACATTCAGTATTCATTGATTGTATAAAACTTTGGAAGGAAAAAAAAGAAAAAGAAAAAAAAATAATAAACCACAAGCGCCCATTTTTGTTTGGAGGAAACGTCTCTACTGGCATTTTTTGAAAAAGTTCTCCAAAAAATTGAATTGGAATCAAAATTTGCAGGTTATTCAGAAAATTTGTATTATATCATAAGAATGGCCACCACCGAGCAGTCATACAGCTTTTCCCCTTAGCAAGACAACTAATTTCCGGAACTTAATTCCATATTATCTTTCCTCTGAAAAAAAAGTGAGGTAGGAAAAGTCGAGTGGAAAGAAAGAAAAAAACACCCTTTTGAAACAGCTTCTGAATCTGAAATTGATAAAGAGGGGATTTTAAGGGAGTTACAGGCCCTAATGATACGTCGCCACTTCCTTCTCCAGTGATTCCTTCTACAAAGGTTCATGCTATTTTCAAAATCAACTCTTAAAGAGGGACGAAAAGGGAGCATACATACATACATACATACATACATACATACTTACACGCATACATACATACATAAAAGTCGTTCCTAAAACGCACTCTGGCGTTCTGCGACACCCAAACGCAACATGTGCCTATTTTCCTAAAGGTTATCGGGCAACTGACAATGCAACATCTTTTCGTCAACGCCCTGCTGTCATCCCTTCATGGGACGTCCCCGTCGCCTTTTTCCAGGTGGTACCTGATCCAAAACTTGTTTGGGCAACCTCTCCTCCGACATATTTTGCAAAGGGGAAAATTAATAAAGGAACAATACACCCAACTTTCAGCCACTTTGATGGAGGGTTTGTTTGTTTATTTTCCGAGCATGAGTGGTTGATCCCCAAGTGGGTGGATCGATGCATGAATATACTTTATCTAAAAACAAGCTCCTGTCATAGGCGTGGCACAACTGGTGCAATTTTTTCGCGGGCTGAGACAGAATCGCTCGCTCATTTTTCTCCCTCTACCTCTTATCAACTGGAGCTCGCAATTAATAACTCCGCTGCGTAAAAGGAGGGGAGGACGGGGGGGGGGGGGTCAGGAAGGAGAGGGGTAAAGCCGGGTGCCTATCTTTCTCCGGATCCGTTTACTTTGTAGCAACCGGTGAGGCGCCTGAAGATGCCAGAGGCACTTGTATTGACAACTGATAATCTTTTAATATAGATATATTATAGAGGGAAACATGGAATGTATTTTAAAAGAATAACTGGTGAGTAATAGTTGAAAAAAGGGAAAACGTCGCAGGGGCATCGTTGGGAAAAGTTAGGAAGCACAAGTATATTTCCTTCCCCGGCATCTTGGAATTGACATAGTTTGAGAGCATTTTGGGGTATTTGGATAGATTTTAGGGCATTTTCCGAAGTTTTTGTTAATATCTCACGTAGATTACCCTCTACGCAACTACTTTTGTCCCCTTCCCATATTATTCCGAAATGATACCCATGAAAATTTTGTGAATACGTTGAAATAATTTTTTTTTTTTTTTTTTTTTTTTTTTTTTTTTTTTTGAGGGGCGAAAAATCACATTTAATTTTTAGATAAAATGTAAAGAACGGGAGCGATTTTGGTTGTCTATGATTACCTATTCCTAAAAAATCTCTTCAAAAATCCTTGAATGAAAGTTAAAAAAACACATCCAGACCCGGAAATCGCACCTGAACAATAATGTCTGAATTTTAACGACATGATGCGACTTTTCTTATCAAGATTTCGTTCAAAAAACGATTAGCGTGTGAATATTCCGTGGTTGGACTCCTTCGTTAGATGATAACGTTTTCAATGGCTTAATTAGTTTTCAAACGTGCCGCTCGTCTCGCTTACAACAAAGAAAAAAAAAAAAGAAAAAAAAGGAAGAAAAAAAAAAATGGAAGAAGGAGAGAACTATTTGTGGGATTAAATTTTTTCAAACTCAATGGATAAAGAGGCCTTTTTTTGTTTAAAAAAAATTAACTAGAATGATGACCGAGGGTAGAATAGTGAGAAGGGAATTTTTTAAATTGCAGAGCGATACCGCCCTCGCGGCGATGACACTATAATAAACAATGTCTCGATCCCTCGGTACCAAACTGCTGTATTTTCAATTAAAATAGTAAAAAATAAATGGAGATTTAGAACGTTAAAATCGAGGTTTCGCATTTGTCGACTTTAGCCATCGATTGCATACACAGTGTCCCAAGGCGAAAAGGAGAGAAACTGAAACCCTCAGTTATTGTAGCTACAAAAGGGATCTGCGCGATATAGAAGTGGCGCACCATGCGCCTTCATTTCCGAGCGACACCTCCCGCGATGCCGTGAAGTTGATTTGGTTGCGTGACCTAATCTAACCTAACTCGAGTCTACTACCACCACGCTACTGACAGGGTAAGTTCACTTCAGAAAAGTCTCGATAAAATTGAAAATTTGAGAATTTTACGCTGAATTTGAACAAACCTGTGAACTTTATTATCATTAAAATAAAATAATGATTACTCATGACTTTGCCCTCTTGACGAACAAAATAAACAAATAGCTAATGCCACTCAACTCGACCAAGATAAGGGCAAGTATAGCACTGCTGCCGATTAAGGACACGGTTCATTTTAAACACACGTTGCTGGTATATGATACAATTTTGACTTAATACGTTGAGTATGCGTTCTTGAGTGTATTAGAAAGCGATTAGAATAAAAAACAGAGAATAGATAATTTTGAATCAAGTCCTGTGTTTTTGCTGTACTGAGAGCTTTAAGTTTTTGCCTCAAGTCTCTCTTTGCTTAATGCCATTATTTTCATTCATTTCTGGTGGATTTCCGTCTAATGCGAATGAAACACATTAATCTTTTGACTTTGGCAAAAGCAGAGCTGCCCTGCTAAGGAAAAACACCATATAAGCCTTCAGACGTAGCCAAGTTTCTTCTTATATAATCCGCATTTTCTGGGCAAATTGTTAGTATTACTTCCCAAAATTTTCACACAATTTTGTGCGCAATTTTATCTAAAATATCTGAAAATTTCAAGGGAAAATATGCATGCATGCTGTCAAAAATACATGTTTTATTGTGGGAAATTTGGCAACTCTCGAATGTTTATACGGCGTGCTTCCTTAGCACGGCAGCGAGGTGATGGTGTGATATTATTTTTGGTCATAGCAGTGGATCGAAACAAACACATTTCTCATAATCTTCTGAGCAGGAATAATTAGATTTCTATCAATTTATCGATACGAACTGAGTACTTTTGTCACGTTACTTGGAAGGTCCTCGGGCGGTATTGAAAGATCTGATAGGAACCCGGGAACCATTGATTGGAGGAGGCGGCGCACATTGGTTCCCAGACCCGATCTAGGTGGCATTAATTCGAAAAAATGAATTTTGGAAAAATTAAAATTTGACACCACAGATTGATAGTGCATACTCTCGAGAGTAACTTGGCCAAATATCATGAAGATCGGATCACTAATAAGGAAATGATAAGCACCTAAAAGTTAAGCCGCGAGGTACTTTTGGGCGGACTCGCACCAGTTTTCAGTGTTTACTGTCAGGTCCTATGATTTGAAGTTCATCACACAGAAATAGATGCAAATGTGAAGTGTTCTGTTACGGTGTATCAAAAATATAAGGCATGTTAAAGGTTTATACGTTCCTACTATCTTTCAAAAACGTGTCTATACATCTAGACAAGCCGTTAGACAAAGCGTTATTTTCTACTAATTCCAAGCAAATTTTTACAAAAATGGCTCTAAATGAATGTCTTGCGCCGGTTCGCACGCATACAGACCTACTGTAGTAGTTAGTACTAACCCTAAACTTGATTTTAGTGCAATAAAATCCTGCGCATACTTGCGTCCCTGGGGGTTAGGGCACTTTGAATTTCCAAAACCGGCTTTCAAGAAATAAAGAATTGACACACTAAGGAGCTTACTGTAGACCTCAGATCCTTGGGAATATGAATACTGCATTTTTTACAGGTCATGTGGGTTCTCAAGTCTTCATAATCGTTAAGATGATTATTTTTTACTTTGTCTATACCTCTAGAGAAGCCCATAGACTTACCACAGCTCCGGTTTTTTGACTGGAAATTTTACAATTATGACTCAAAATAAAGGCCCTGCGTAGGTTCGCACACGTGCAGACCGACTGTAGTAGTTAGTGCTGACCCTACACTTGATTTCGGAGCAAAAAAATTCTGCGCATACTTGCGTCCCTGGAGGTTAGCGCACTTTGAATTTCCAAAACCGGCCTTCGAGAAATGAAGAAAATTGACACACTGAGGAGCTTACTGCACTACTGCAGACTCCAGATCTTTGAGGACTGCATTTTTTGCACATCACGTGAGTTCTCAAATCCTCACAATCATTGGGATGATTATTTTTCACCTTGTCTATACCTGTAGAGAAGCCCATAGACTAAAGACAGTTCCCGTTTTTTGACTAGAAATTTTACAATTATGGCTCAAAATACAGAACACGTGGGTTCTGAAATCCTCTCAATCGTTTAGATAATTGTTTCTCACATTGTCTGTACCTTTAGAGAGGCCCATAGACATAGCACTGTTCCACAGAAAAGGAGCTTACTGCACTCCTCGCGCATTATTCCGTGATTGTATGAGTAAATGTCCTCTAACTCAACAACGAATGCTTATTTCTTTCTTGGTTCATGATTTCTTCGTGTTTTTATTCTCTCAGGTTTGTAAGGCTCTGAAATCATCGCAAGCTCACAACTTTGTTTGAAAAAGAAAAAAAAGCAAGTGTAACACCTCACTCTTTTTGATGCGCAATAAAATATTATACCGATGAATATTTTCCTGCTCTTACAGACAGTAATAATTTTTCTTTCAAAATACTTTGTTATTAATTTTGGTTTCTGCTTTCCTTCATTGAGTGAATATACTTCTTGTTCAAG